TTAAGTAAAGTTGGGTGTAGTTCAGTTTTAGAATCTGGATTCTGAATTTTTAAAAATAGTAATTAGTTGCTGTGTCAGTTGCTATTGCTATATAACAAATTATTCCAAAACTTAACAGTCGAAAACAACTATTTTATTATGCTCACAGATTTTGTTGATCAGGAATTTGCACAGGGCAGAGTCAGGATGGCTTTTCTCTGCTCTATGATATCTAGGGCCTCAGCTTGGAAGACTCAAAGGTGTTTTGATGACTGGAGTTTAGAATGATCTGGAAGGCTCATTTATTCACATGTTTGGCACCTGGGCTAGAATGACTCAAAAACTTGGGAGTTCAAACCTGGGTGCCTAAATGTGACCTCTCCATGTGGTTTGACTCCCCCAGACCATGGCAGCTGTGGAATAACTGGACTTCCTGCGCAGCTAGCTACTCAGGGGTCCACAAGCACATGTTCCTTCAAACAACGTAGAAACTGAATTGTCTCTGATCAAGCAGGGAAGTCACACGGCTTCGCTTCTGCCATTCTTTATTGGTGGAAGCTATTAAAAGCCTGCTCGAATTCAAAGGAAGTAGACAGATTTCACCCTTTAATCAGAACAGTATCAAAGAATTTCGGGACCACGTTTTAAAACTGCCACAGTTGCTGAGGGAATTATAGGAAATACAGGCAAATGCAAATGCTAATACTACTGAAATTTCGATAATTTACAGATTTTGTTAAAAATAAAAGAGCATAGGTGTGTGTAACCTCTGTATTTGTAATATTTGTCAGGTTCAGTTTTTAGTATGTGTAGAAGAAATTAAACTTTAATATTAGTTTTGATATTATATCCTACTACAGTTAGTAGAATTATCTAATACATTTTAAAGTTGAAGAGGAACGCCTGGGTGGCTCAGTGAGTTAAGCATCTGACTTCAGGTAATGATCTCGCTGTTCATGAGTTCAAGCCCGGTATCAGGCTCTGTGCTGACAAGGCAGCTCAGAGCCTGGAGCCTGCTTCAGATTCTGTGTCTCCTCCTCTCTCTGCCCCTCCCCTGCTCATGCTCTGTCTCTTTCTCTCTCTCAAAAATAATAAAAACATTTAAAAAATAAATTTGAAGAAAATACTCTCTCAAAAAAATAAGTAAATAAATAAA